TAACTGGGCTTTGGATGAGGCTTGACTAGGTTTAGGATTAGGCTTAGGCTTAACTGGGTTTAGGCTTAGGTTTAGGCTTAACTGGACTTAGGATTAGGCTTAGGTTTAGGTTTAGGCTTAGGCTTAACTAGTCTTAGGCTTAGGCTTTGGTTTAGGCTTAACTAGGCTTAGGCTTAGGCTTAACTAGGTTTAGGATTAGGCTTATGTTTAGGTTTAGGCTTAGGCTTAACTAGTCTTAGGCTTAGGCTTAACTAGGCTTAGGCTCAGGATTAGGCTTAGGTTTAGGCTTAGGCTGAACTAGGCTTAGGCTTAGGCTTAATTAGGCTTAGGCTTAGGCTTAGGTTTAGGCTTAACTGGGCTTAGGCTTAGGCTTAACTAGGCTTAGGCTTAAGCTTAACTAGGCTTAGGCTTAGGCTTAACTAGGCTTTGGCTGAGGCTTAACTAGGCTTAGGTTTAGGCTTAGGCTTAACTAGGCTTAGGCTTAGGCTTAGGCTTAACTAGGCTTAGGCTTAGGCTTAACTAGGCTTAGGATTAGGTTTAGGTTTAGGCTTAGGCTTAACTAGGCTTGGGCTTAGGCTTAACTAGTCTTAGGCTTAGGCTTTGGTTTAGGCTTACTAGGCTTAGGCTTAACTAGGCTTAGGCTTAGGCTTTGGTTTAAGCTTACTAGGCTTAGGCTTAGGCTTAACTAGGCTTAGGCTTAGGCTTAACTAGGCTTAGGCTTAACTAGGCTTAGGCTCAGGATTAGGCTTAGGTTTAGGCTTAGGTTTAACTAGGCTTAGGCTTAACTAGGCTTAGGCTTAGGCTTAACTAGGAAAATAAATAAATAAATAAATAAATAAATAAATAAATAAATAAATCTGGCCAAAATAATGGCTGCTCCCTAAACCGCTGCTGGGGCAGGAGCATGTGGTCAATACAGAATATTAAAAATAAATAAATAAATAAATAAGTAAAATAAAAACAAACTGTGAGCTCTTGGTTGGTGGGTGGGTGGGGGAAGCAGAGAGATTGTCCCATACTGACTCTCGAGAGCCTAGTGATAAATCAGTGAATGAAAGAAACCTGGCATTTTCTACCTGGAGATTTTAGAGTGATTATTAATTCTACTTCTAGCCTTCTTTGTTTTGTTTTACTTTGCTTAACTTTATTGGGTCTCAAAATTTACAACTAAAAGTTCAGAACAATAATAGTGCCCTTTCCTACTTGACTGTTGTGAGGGGAAGAATAATTGCAAAATCATCTCTGAATAAAAGGCCCTAGATATTCCACATAAAACTATACGAATTGGGAGGAAAATCATAGTTTCAAATATAGGGTGCACAGAATCTTGTAGCCTGTATCACCAAAGCAAGAGGTCCCTTACACTTTCATTGCACACACAATGTCTGCACAAGCAGGCAATCAATGTTTGATTGAAGTGACTAATGATTTATATTAACAATAAGTAAAGGGCTACTGAATGATTGAAACTCACTCATGTGTGAGAATCCACTCATTTCCAATAGAGATAAATGGAGAATGACAGATAATCAAAGGGAGTTTCCTTACTGATTCAGTGGCTCTGCAGAGACTGCCAGACTTCTATTTTCACAATGCTCAGCCTTGTGCAAACTGCTTTAATGTCCTTTGGAAAAGAGTGGGCGAAGGGAGGGGAAGAGCTGCAATCTTGCCTTGGAACAATTTGTCTGCCACTGACACATTTTTGGCCTAGGGGTGAAAAGAAAAACCAAAACCCCACCCATTGTATAGAGCCCAGAGGCACAACAGTGTGGAGTTGGAGCAGAATGTTATTTTCAGGTGTTTTTCTCGGGTATGGGTTTCAGGGCTTGTAACTACATTTGGTTAGCCGCAGTAAATCGAACATTATACAACATCACGAATGAGGAGCCTCTCTGTGCTACTGTTTGGAAGCTGGTAGGAGGCTTTCAGTCCTGAAATCAATGCAACCGCCTTCAGCGGTCCGCTGTTTAGAGAATTCTGGCTTCAGCGGGAGGGGTCAGCTATGTGGGGATGTGAAGGATCTGACCAGTTTTCCAGACACAAGCCAGGTGGATGCACATTTCCACTGTCATGACAAAGTGATGAGGGGATTTAGCTGGGTTGTGTTGTTTCCTGAAGTGTGTAGGTGGAATGACTTCTACAGCTGGAAGGCAGAGACCGAGGCTGATTCATCTGACTCCTTCACTTGGGCAGCAGCCAGCACCTTGCTCCGCCCTTCACCATCACCATTATCACTCCCTCCTCATTCTCACTTCGTTCTGTTGAATGTGGATCCCATGATCTTATCTCATCAGCACCTCAATTATCTTCCTCCTTGCTCTTCTCAATGAATTGGCATCATAATCCCTCAATATGGGTCAATTATGCATCTGGATTCTCACCTGCATCATCCAGTTGTTGGGGAAATTTTTGTTCAACTGTGAAAATTGGTACCCATGCTAGCTACTAACCAATGAGCTGGCAGCATTATCTCATCAGTTACCTCTGCAGGAGGTAACTGTTTTTCTTATTAACCAGATAAATTAACAGCCTCAGTTTGTTCTTTTTCGATGACAGATTTGAGGAACATCATGGGGAAAATATTAAAATTATTTTTGCTTTACTTATTTGTTGGTTAAGAATAATTGCTGCTACCCTAGCCAGTTTGTTCAGTGGTTATAGCGTTGGCCCACAAACTGAAGGGTCCAATCAGGGGCACATACCTCTGTTGCTAGCTCTATTTCTGGGCCCCAGGGAGCATGCAGGAGGCAACCAATTGATGTGTCTCTCTCACATTGATGCGTGTGTCTCTCCCTCTCCCTTCCATACTCTTTAAAATCAATGGAAAAATAATCTCAGGTGAGGATGAAAAAAAAAAAAGAATAGTTGCTGCTATATTTTAAAAATGTTTTCACTGATTTCAGAGAGAGGAAGGGAGAGGGAGAAAGAGATAAAAACATCAATAATGAAATGCCTCCTGCATATCCCACACTGGAGATTGAGCCTGCAACTGAGAATCAAACCATGACCTCCAGGTTCAAAGGTTGATGGTCAACCACTGAGACATGCCTCCAGCAGGGCAATAGTTGCTATTTTAATCTTACAAGGTCAGTGTCTTTTTGACTCCCCACTAGTCTTGATTAAATTATCACAGTATTTGATCAAAAATTTTTTGATCATGACAAGAATGAGCATAGAATCCCAAAATGTTTGCTTTTTCTTTACCTCTCAAGGTGACAAAATCTGGAAGAGGGTGAAGTCCCAAGTTCCTGACTGAGTTCTAGGAATGAGATGGCAGGTTTCTTTATATCATCTCACTATTAGTATTGTCATTAGAATGTGAAACTCATTAAAACTTACTTTATGAATTACCTTTATCTTTAACTGTTATGCTCCAACAGAATGCCAATAACTGCTTATTCTCTTCCATGGATCTTTTCCATATTTTACTTTTGGAGATTAAGTTCATGTTTTTGGTTGTTTGTTTTTTAAGATACATTGTCTCTGAGTTCAGAAATGGGAGAAACCATGTTCTGATGCATTCCTTCGTGGGTCTGTGAGCACTGCCTTCCCAAAGCCGAGGTACTACACAGTGGCCTTGACAGGAAAAGCAGAGATGGGTGCTATGGTCCCAGTTCCGCAGGCCCCTGACTTTCTGTGACTGACCTGTAGCCAGTCCACTTCAGTGTCTTCATCTGCATCAGAAGGGAGTGGACCTACCTTGCTGTGGCCCATGGACCAGACCAGTAGCATTAGCACGACCTGAGAGTTGGTTAGAAGGATAGAGTCTCTGGCCCCATCCAGGACCTTATTCATCAGAATCTGCATGTTACAGAGATTTCTAGGAGGATTCATACGCACATTAAAGTTTGAAAAGCACTAGGTTCTGAAAAACATGTGAACAACCTTCATTCTCCCCTTTTCCCTGGAACACTTAAGAGAGTTGGTGAGACTTGGGCTTGACTCCCACACATATCCCACCTGACTGAGCAAGCTGCTTCCTCTCTAAGCACAGTCACACTGGGGTGGGCCTCTCCATCAATGAAATGTAGGCAAAATGCGCACGCGATTCTAACCCGACTTTTTATATTCCTAATACAGGGCATTAACGGTCAAGGGAGGAAGGAAAGCTCAGGCCACAGAGCCTAGCCGCCTCATTGTTTTTACTTTAATTATAGGGAGGTTTTAGTACAATTCTAAGTGGAACTTAAGTTTGTTTGTATAATGATCGTTGACCCTTGAACAAAGCTGGGGGAGAGGGGATATTGAGGAGATATTAAGCGGATATTAAGGGGATATTAAGGACCTCCCGCGGCTTTGAAACTTCTCCCCCTAACTACTATAATATTTGAAATAAAGCTTTTAAGCCAGATCCTGTTGGCTTTCCCTGCAATTGGCCGCCAAGCTCTGGAAACACTACTGTATTCATCCTTCCATTCCGAACTCCCAACCAGGTCGGGTTTTTTCCTCTCCAATTCGCAGCCCGGGAAGACTAAAGGGGGAAAAAAGCGACTTCATTGCTCGTCCACACAGCCGGGAGACCACGCCCGCGGGCACCCGCGGTAAACAAGAGCCCAGAGGCCACGCCCCCGCGCGCGGGACTCAGAAATGTCCTCCCCTCGAGTCTCCGCCTCCTCCGGACCCGAGCAGCCGTGAGGCGGGGCTAGTATCACCACTACAAAGCGGCCCTGTGTTCTGGCTCTCCTCGTTCCCGGCGGACCCTAAAGACCGACGCACACATCTGGACCGTACCATTCTTTGATTCCCCTACTCTATCAAAATTCGAGATATTAGTAGAGGTATCTATAGAAAATTAAGTTATCAAAAGCTTTATATTTTTTCTCTATAATAACAACCAACTCTAGAAAGAAGATGGCAGTTTCGAGCAAGTTCTTTCCTTTTCTTATGTTCAACGCGGATCTTGACTACTTGGGCTCACCATCGTCACTTCCGGGGATCTAGTGCTTGAATACCGGAAAACGTGTGCGAGGGGAAGAAGTTCGGTTCGTGCCTGTGTAGCCATGGGCCGGAGGAAAGCGCCGGGTTCTGGGTCCCTCGGCCGGGCACTTATACGGCATCAGACTCAGGGGAGCCGTCGGCACCGTCACACCGACTCCTGGGTAAGCCAGGTCTTGTCCTCTCTCTCAGCCTTTCTGTCTGGTTACGCGAGTGTGAATGCTGCGAATCCTTGGGCCAAAGGTCACGAAACTTGCCTAGAAGTGACGTCTAAGTAGGGTTTTCTTTTCTTTCTTTTTTAAAAATGACCATATGGCCAATTGCTTCGTTCTCTCTTTTTTAAAAAAATATATTTTTTAATTTTTTTTTTTTTTTTTTTTTTTTTTTACAGAGAGGAAGGGAGAGGTATAGAGAGTTAGAAACATTTATGAGAGAAAGACATCAATCAGCTGCCTCCTGTACACCTGTCTCTACTGGGGATGTGCTTACAACCAAGGTACATGCCCTTGACCGGAATCGAACCTGGGACCCTTCAGCCCGCAGACCGAGGCTCTATCCACTGAGCCAAACCAATTAGGGCCTAAGTAGGGTTTTCAAAGATGTCTGTAAAGTTCTGCCACGCTGATACGCAGGTCCTCCTCCTAGGAGGGACAGAGCACACACAAAAGTAGTTCTAATGTAATAAAGCTAGAGTAAGATTTTTGAAGGGTCTTAATGTCAGAAAAATAGTCTTTGCCTTATAAGCCATGGGAACTTTGGAAGTAATGAGCAGGAAAAATACAAACACTACTTCTCTTAGTATTAATTTGTTCAAAGAACCGAAAAGTGGCCGGTTGCTACTAGAAATAAAACATATATCTCTCATTCCTGCTTGATCCTTAATTTCCTAGTACTGTCGCTCAGAGATGAACAGTTCATCTCCAGAATGTGGCCGGCCTAATAGTTCCTTAAACCTAAGAACAATCATAGTTTTAGGACCTTTAAAAATGGATGTTTGACTTGTGATTGTTACTTTGATTATTCATAACCCCAGGTATTTGAGACTCATTAAGTTCACAGTAAGAATTTGTGCTAAAGTCAAAGATGTCCCTGTTGCTAACTGTCCATGTGCCACTCTCACACCATCTGGTTTCTGTCTATATAATTTGCAGTGTAAGCAGCATTATGGCTCATTAGTATTCATCAGGTCAGAGTCACTCTGGACATTAGATGCTGACATTTTCAATTGGTTTTGAAGCAGCTTGTTGTTAATGTAGCCTTTAGGAAGTGATGGGAAGATTGAATATAAATTCTAAAGAACTGGATAGTAATCCTTACTCTGATTTTTACTGATTCAGTGACCTTGGGCAAATCTTTTATTCTTCAGTGTTTTCATTTATTTGTATCTGTACTGAGCATGTAGCTAGGAAGATGTTTATCTCACTCTGGGTTGCGTCTGGAAATCAGTTGAGTAGATGGTAACCAGAGGTTTTGTGGTGTGTTTTTTTTTTAAACCAACAAAAAGAATTCAAAATATAGAGTATATTACATGTAGGAAGATAACTTCGTTTCAGGATTCTCTTGTTTCCATTTTACTCGGATGGTATCACTGTGTATCATAGCATTTGAGTCACTGTGTAAACCTTACTGTGAGTCTCCATCAAAAAACTTTGACTTAACTGTGGCTGCTAGGACCAGAGAGTCTGTGTTCAAATTCTGTCTCTATCACTTATTAGTTGCAACTATCAGCGATTTTCTTTAAAGATTTTTTCCCCCCAATTTCAGAGAGGAAGGAATAGGGAGAGAGAGATATAGAAACATCTGTGATGAGAGTCATTGATTGGCTGCCTCCTGCATGCCCCCACTTGGAATCATCGGGCTGCAATGCAACCCAGGCATATGCCCCCATCAGGAATCAAATCCAGGACCTCCTGGTTCATAGGTTTGACTAAACCCCTGAGTCAAGTTGGATGGGCTAGGCAATTTATTTTTATCTATTTAAGCCTGATTCCTTGTCACAGAATATAGAGTTACATTAACAGATTTTAAAAATGAAATAAAATCATGAATGGAAAGTGCCTATCATGAGGTAAAAAAAATAAATGCTCATTTGAATATTAGCTGTTACCAGTTTTGATGCTAACGGTGCTCAAGACTAGGAAATGTTAGTTCCTTGTGGGGTTAGAGTTTGTTTGGATGTCAAGAGCAGAGGAGAGTAACTGCATTTTTACCCTGTTTTATTCATAGTTGCACACAAGTGAACTCAATGATGGCTATGACTGGGGTCGTCTTAATCTTCAGTCAGTGACTGAACAGAGCTCCCTTGATGACTTCCTTGCAACTGCAGAACTTGCAGGAACAGAGTTTGTAGCTGGTAAGTTGTTTATTGCTGAGTGCATATGACACTGGTCACATTTCCGTCCTTGGTGACTAGATACAAACATATCTACCTGGAACTGTTTATGCAGACCCTACTAAATTCATAAATGAGCTGTCTTTAATCCAAGGCAGATATCCCAGGAGCATTGTGGGGTCCAGTTATACTCAAGTTGTGAGCTACAGAATGTACCACAGTTTGTTGTTGTTTTGTGTGAGTGTGTTGGGGGGGGGGGGTGCCACTGTTTTAAAATTCAGCTCTGAAAAAACACTTCAGGTTATACAGTATCATATTAAATTCAAGAAACTCAATCTTTCCTAGGGAAGAAAAAAAAAACAGTCAACATTATGATGGTCAGTACTAGGGTTTTCCAGAAAGTTTCCTGATATCATTGTTAGAAGCACAATTCTAGGCCTGCTCCTGTTAATTTAGGCAATTTGAATTGTATTTTAAATTACTTGTCAGGACATAATAGTGAATTTTTCTGTGCATGTAATTTGTTTTAGTCATTTCTTTCCCTAGTTTTTTAATATGTGTTTCTGAGCACTCAGAAAAGTACATGGCACGGAGATAGCATCTTGAACTATTATTCCTGTTGCTCTTTTATTATTGTAAATGTTATTAAGTTGTTTGGCAAATTCATTCATTTGTTCAGAATGTTTTTGTTTAGTCTCAGCCTCTCTTAGGCATTGTACTGGCAACAGTATTGAATAAGACAAATTTTGGTTCTGTATATTTTATGTTAGGTGCCATGAAAGAAGTCTGTAGCAGATATGTGGGGTCAGGAAAGATGGAGGTGCTGACAATTGAGTTAATCACCAGTGGCCACTAATCAGTCGTGCCTATGTGATGAAACCTCAAAAAAAACCATTTAGAGATTTGGCACTTCTGTCTCTGGAGTCTGACAGAATATAATGGAATTGTACGACACCCAGTTGGTGTTTGGAGAAATTGGTTGTTGGTGTGGGAAAAACCCGCATATTTGGTGTCAAAAGTGTTGGTAGTAATCACAGTTCAGAGATAGGTGCTGCATTGTTATATGCTTACTTGCAGCAGCACTCATAGCATCACTACTGAAATGAGGAGAAAGAAAAGTTGGCTTTAGCTAAGGATGAAGATTTGGGAGTGGGTGCAGTGAAGTAAGTAATTTTGATGTTCAAGCAGAGTGGTCGAACGTATGTACCACATGGCTTTAGCCAAATAGGGAAAGAAGACGGATGATGGACTGGAGAAAGAAGAAAGACTCGAGGGGTGAGAGGTATTTACAGTGGTTGGACATTGGGTGGGAGCTCACCACTGGAAGGAGAAATTAAAAGAATTATTAAATATGTAGCTTGAAGTGTGTGTGTTTCGACTGCGAATGGTGCTTGGATTTGACTGTACTCTTGGTTACTAGACTGTGCAGCCTAAGCAAGGTATTGGTGGTCTGAGGAGGGTAGCAGACTGCAGTCTTTGCTTCGAGGTCAGTATGAGTGTTGCTGAAGATATCTCGTTACCTTTCAATAGGACCTTCCCTTGACTTTTTGGTAAGAAGCTTAGCTGACTTCTATGGAGACTAGGTGGCCATGTGTGGTGAATTTGAGATGCCTGGAGCAACTGAGGGGCGGCTTTAGGGAAAACAGAGCACTAGAACAGAGGTCTCTGATTCACACATGGACATGACATTATTTGAATTTACATAGGTCACTAATCCCAGGTGATCATCATGCATGTCTTATATACATTATAGTGTAGAAGTTCACCACTTCTAACTGGAGTGAGACTGCTGAATCTTTGCTTCCCCACCCATTCCCATTGGCTTACAATTATTCTCCCTGTATCAGCTGTCGGCAGCCAGTGGTCCGTGCACCACTGCTGGTCCGGAGGTCCGGAAGGTTGGCGACCACTGCCTATATAATATGAAGGCACTGATTGTAGTAAATCTTCACAGTCTTCCTACTCTTAATACGTTTAGCATATGGAGTTTTATAAAATTAATAAAAATATTTTCCTTTTTTGTAGGAAACTTCATTTGGAAATTATGATTTAGCCAAGGCTAGAGGAATCTAAATTTTAAAAGCTTAAATTCTGTTTTAGATGCTCATATTTTTAGTTTTGAAGTAATGACCAGTATTCACTCTCTGTATTTTTGCCTCTTAAGTAATTCAGTTCTTTTCTGTTCTATAAACAGAGAAGCTTAATATTAAGTTTGTGCTTCCTGAGGCTAAAACTGGACTGCTGTCTTCTGAGGAGAGCCAGAGAATTAAGAAGCTCCATGAAGAAAACAAACAGTTCTTGTGTATACCAAGGAGGTGAGTTGATCAAGAATGCAGGACATCATGAGGCACAACATGGCCACTGAGTATAAAATGTTTATATGTCCATTCTTTCTCTGCTCTCTTTTCTCAGTTGCCATTATTAAATACAAATCCCCTATTTTACTTTGGTAACTCATATGGAGTTTTTCCCCTCTGTGATTCTTTCAGACCAAAGTGGGACAAAAACACCAGCTCCGAAGAACTCAAACAGGCAGAAAAAGATAACTTTCTAGAATGGAGACGTCAGCTTGTCCGGTGAGTGTTAAGATCATCTAAAGTTTGTCTTGGATTCTGAGTCAGGCATTTTGATGTGCTTGTTGCTGTTTGCATTTTGAAAACTTGACTCTTTTAAAAGAAAACTGGTAGATTTCTTTTAAGTGCAAATTCAATAAAATGAATCCTTGCACAGAGATGAGGAGTTGGTTAATGCTGAGTTGGTTACTCTGCTCCACTCCTGGCTGTTTCTCTTGTTTATACCCTTCACCATAGTCACCCTGGAGTTGATCACCACTCTCGGCATCCTCCAGGAAGAAATGCCTTGGAGAAATGTCACTTTGTGTAATAGATAAACTTCCGGGTTTAAATAGACTAAATATAAGACTTGAATTTGATTTTCTTATTGATTCAGCAGAAAGTATCTTCTATAATAATAAAAGCGAAATGTGCTAAACAATCTTCCCGACGAAATCGGGGCTGCGAGGGCCGGGGCAAGCCACCGCGGCTGCACGGGCCGAGCCTCTTGAATGGATTTCTTGCGTCGGGCCTCTAGTATAAAATAATTTGACAGTTAATACTTGTGTACTTATTTTTTTAATGCAGTGAACCTGAGTGTTTATGTTACTCAAAACCTTTATATAATCTGGCAAATGTATAAACTTATCATTTTAAAGCCAGGCTAGAAGAGGAACAAAAGCTGATATTGACTCCATTTGAAAGAAATTTGGACTTTTGGCGCCAACTCTGGAGGGTGATTGAGAGAAGGTAAGTTTTGGGGAGAGGAGTACTGGTGTGGTGGTGGTGGTGTTAGATTTGGGTGTTAACGCGTGTTTATAGGCCCAGGGATGGGGGCCCGATTAAGCCATACAAAGGGCTGTTGAGAATTATTATTATTATTATTATTATTATTATTATTATTATAAAAACTAAAAGTATAGTACTGTATTTTTAAAAATACATAATGTTTTTTGTTATTAGATGAACTCAATAAGCTGTGAGAATAGTGAGCATTTTCTGTAAAATGAGTTCTGAAGCAACTGTAGTTACTTCAGCCACTATATATTGAATTTCTACTGGTAATACGAGAAATATGGGTGTGAAAAGGGATAGGTATCTGCCTAAAAGAGCCAGTATATCATGGGGGAGGCCAAGCAGAGCACCCAGCAACAGAGCACACAGATAAATGAAATGCAGTCGTTCAAACCAGTGTGATTCCTCCTATATTGCAGATAGAAAGGTGGTGGGCCAAGTCACAGGCGAGGAAGGAGCAGTTGATAAGGAATGATTGGATGGGGGAATGGTCTGTTTCAATTGGGATTTGAAAAGAGAAAAATTTTAATAAATTAAGAATGGGATATTGTCAGTCTTTTTTATGTCTTGATTGCTAGAAATTGATGAATCGACTTTCTCCATTCTTACCTCTTTGATATAGTGTAGTTTTTTTTCAACCTGTGTGCTGCAAGAATTTTAATATATTTTATTGATTTTTTTACAGAGAGGAAGGGAGAGAGATAGAGAGCTAGAAACGTCGATGAGAGAGAAACATCGACCAGCTGGCCGAAACCGGTTTGGCTCAGCGGTAGAGCGTTGGTCTGCAGACTGAAAGGTCCCAGGTTCGATTCCGGTCAAGGGCATGTACAATGGTTGCGGGCACATCCCCGGTAGGGGGTGTGCAAGAGGCAGCCGGTCGATGTTTCTCTCTCATAGATGTTTCTAGCTCTCTATCCCTCTCCCTTCCTCTCTGTAAGAAAAATCAATAAAATATATTTTAAAAAAACAACAACAAAACACGCAGTACCTGACTTTTGGATCAGGGGCACTGACCTCTTTTCACTTAGATTGTCAAAAAAAAAAAAAAAAAAAAAAATGACTGCATCCAACACAATAGATGTCCCGTGTGAATGACTCAAAATTCTACCTTTTTTGTTTTTTGTCAGATTGCCAAAAAAAAAATGTTTTGGTGTGTCACAGAATTTTAGTAATTAGTTTATGTGTGCCATGAGATGAAAAAGATTGAAAATTGTTGGTATAGTTAAAAGGTTTTTGTTTTCCTCAAGGTGTCTGAATTACTTACAAGGACTCCATAAATGACATTTATATTTGAAATGATTTTTTTTTTTTAACAAAAAAACTTCAGGCTTTTTTTGTTTTGTTTTGTTTTTTGAAATCCATAAAATGTATCCAGTAAGAACATTAGGAAACAGGATGCCTGGTTCTTGGAAAAGAATATTAGAGCATTTGCATTGTTATGGAAAAACAAAACAAAACAGGAATTGGATTAAACTTGTTAACCGGGTGGGGCATAATTGCCTGGTAGAACGGAACTGGGAATGACCTAAGAACTCCCTGTTCAGATTGGCTTCAGTATCGCCTCACCCTTGCCTTGAGAGCTAGATCCAATGCTTCTAGTCCCCTCTCTGGGCTTAGGAGCAGGCACAGGCTTGCCTCTTACAGGTTTGACATATCTTAATTGCTGTCCTTTCGTCCTAATGAGTCCCCAGCCTTTCCTTTTTGTAGGTTTTGACAGGGAACAAAAGTAACCATACGTGTTCTCCCATGTTTAACAGGATGGCCTTTTACACGCTTTTTATGCCCTTAAGTAAGCGGTTGGTTTCCCCTCTGTGAGCCTGTGCTTATTGAAACTTTAGCTAGCTTCAATTGGATTACAGTGTTACCTGTGTTACCACTGTTTTTATTATGTGATATTTCTCTTTTTATAAGAACATACTTCTACCTCCACAAATATAGTGTGTTTTACATGGAGGTGTGGATCTGAGTGACATAGAAGTATTATCAATAAAGTGACTATCGCCACATCTTTTAACAGGAAATATTTACTAGTGTGTTCTGTACATCTGATGTCCCTTTCCATTAGGTAACGGGCAGCTAAGCCATCTGCCTCTTTAATTTCAAAAGTAGTTATCAGAAAAGATTTGATGTATGACATGTCATTGAAATGCAGGAAATTACGAGGGCAGAACACTGCATTCCAGTAACATAGGCGCCTTCGTTGTATTGTGTAAACCCTTCCTGGTACACAGATGCACTTTTCTCTGCATCCTAATTCAACACACAGAGCAAGCTGTCTTAAATTTGTCTTACCTTACTGGTGTTTTTAAGCTGATTATTTGTTCTTATTCTTTCTACATGTTTAATAGGTAGACATAAAGTCTGCAAACTTTGTTAATTTTAGTTCGTTAGGCTTTTTGGCAGTCATTTTTGCATTTACTCTTAAATACAGTTTTTAAAGTGGTAGATATTACCGTAAAGAAGAAAATATTAGGACCTGCTTAATTTGAGAATTTAAAAACAATCTATCATAAATAGCAAGTCTGTGAGTTCCTTTGAGTCACACAATTATGCTGGAAATTGAACTGTTTTAAAGGAATTGTACATTGGTTGTCAAAAACCCTGTCCTCCATAGTATCTGGGTTTCATGCATTCCTTGGTGTTTGCCATGGTTGCATAAGAGTTACCTCAGAAAAGGCTGACCAGATACGGATTTGGAGACTGCTGTAAGGGAGTAGGTGGTACATCTGCAACTTATTCCTTTCCAGTGGCAGTCACAACTGGCCCTTAAAAAACATCTTTTCTAAACACAGAAGCTGAAGGAAGGGAGGAGGCTCCCCGTAAAGTGAAATATTTGTGCTACTTGCAATGCTGGGCTGCTGTAGTCCCTACCACATTTTGAGGGGCTTGCTATCAACTGCAGTTTTCTTTTCTTTTTTAATTCTCACCTGAAGATTTTTTTAATATTATTATTGATTTTGGAGATAGAAGAAGGGGAAGGGAGGTGGAGAGACTTGATCAATTGCCTCCTATATTCACTCCAACTAGGGATCGAACTCGCAACCTAGGTATATGCCCTGACCAGGAATTGAACCCCAGCCTTCCAGTGCACGGGATGATGCTTCAACCAACGGAGCCACCTGGCCAAGGCAGAAAGTTTTTTATACATCTTACATGTGATTGAAGAAGTTGAACTCATCATTACTGCTTCAGGGTGGCAACTTAAGTTGATACTTTGCTGTTGGATTCTTGCCATCTAAACCCATTCTTGGAGTAGTTGGATGATTATTTGCTAGATGTAGGCTCTGATAGGACAGCTGTCAGCAAGTGGTAAATATATTAGGGTTTTTTTGAGGCCTTAACACGGTTTAGATTAAGTACTAAATATATGGTGGACCTCACTTTATCACTTCAGGAGAAATTACTAGAAGGTACAGTAAAAATGTTATCAATTAAACAGCACCAGAGCTGTTTGTATAAGAGCAGGCAGTATTATATTTATTAGCATGTCCCCTGGTCCATACTACCTTAGTTCCCATTCTGGTTCCATCACTTGGTAGGTGGCAACCTTGGACAAGTTACTTAATTGTTCTAAGCTTTAGTTTCCTCATATATAAACAGAGAATAATTATACCTTAAAAAGTTAAATATGTCAAATGCCTAATATATGGAAAATGTTTGCTTCTCTTACTATATGGTCAGTATTTCTTTTCACTTCACAATGATTGGAGTATCTCACCTTTGTTTTCAGCGATATCGTGGTCCAGATAGTAGATGCTCGAAACCCACTCCTGTTTAGATGTGAGGATTTGGTAAGTAAAGTGTCATAAGATTCCAATGTAACATCTGGGAGGAGCAGTGGAAGGACAGCATCACGGATAGAAATACTGTAGACAAGCATTCTGTGCTCTGCTCTAGCTTTGTTTAGTTAGGCCTCTCTCTCCTCCAGGGTTTAGGAGCTTTCATAATGTGACTGTTTGTGACAGATGCTTTCTCTCCTCAGACAGCTGTTTCTCTCTGCAGGATGGCACAAACACTGACATGAGCTTTCTAGCTTTTCGTTTAGAAGCCACTTCGTTAGTAGACATTTGCCAGTGTTTCTCATTTTTTGACACACCAGTCAAAGTAGCATTTTACTTACGTTGACATATTCCTGGTTATTTTACTTCTTATCCATCCCATTAAGTTTTTTCTTCCCCCACTTTAGTTATTACCCCTGTGGTGGCTCACCGATAGACTAAGTTTGTAAGCCACTGCAGGGGCTGCTAATGTGTGAGAATCACATGAAATAATGTAATATAGGCTTTGAATTAAGAATATACACATGAAATTTTCCTACTAAGGACTATGGTAGTAATAGTATAGATTATTTTAAAATCCACTGGTGAAAAAAAAAAAATCCACTGGTGAATAACATGAATCTTAATGGTGAAACTCTTATGAAGTCAGCTTTTATATTTCTGGTATATTTCCTAATACAGAGCCAAACTTGGGAATTCATTTCAGTGACTGAGTCTTGCTTTTCTTTTAGAATTCAAAAATGTCTTGCTTTTCTTTTAGAATTCTAAAAATTTCTTTTAGAATTCAACATTTACAGTAAATGTTGTTGGCTGTTTTCATGAGGCTAAAAAATAATCTCAGCTGGCCAACAAATCCAGTTATGCAAATTTTGTGTGTTTTTTTTAACTTGTTTAAAAGGAACAATTCAGCACTATCAAGGTCAAAAAGACCTGTTTTACAACTGAGTAGGAAAGCATTTTTTACCCCTTCCAATTTCTTAGGTTGAGAGTATTTCTTTATGTGACCTCCCTTCTTTTCAAAGCTTACTGAGAGGGTTGGTAGAATGTGCCATGATTAAAAATATTTAAATTAGGAATAATTTAAAACTGAGGGGAGTGAAAACTTTTAGTCATAGCTGGCAGGAGTGG